ACTTCACGAAATCTAAATGCAACTGGTGTCAAGGCACAACTATGTCAGCGTTTGAAGCAGGCCCTCGAAGCGGAGGAGGCAGAAGCGTTGGAGAATGCTAGAAAAGCGAGCGAGGAAGGTCCGTTCACTTACTTTTTTAATTCTTATTCATTGACCTATCTGCTCTAATTTCTAACAACCCTGTCTTTTAGCTGATAAAAAACGAAAGGCCAATGAAACTGCGAAATTGGCTTTCTCTTGTCCTGGAGATAAAGGGATTTCTTCAGAATTGAAGGATAGGTCGCCTGATGAGTCTTCTTCTATTGTATCCAATAAGATAGATCAATCGAGATGCGTTTTGAAAAATCAGCCTTCTATTATTGTCCAAAGGCAGGCTGGCGCAGATTTCTATCTTCAAGTGATCGGTCTTGATGTAAGTACTATCACTATCACGAAAATTAATATCCTTTATCACAATGTTTTCTTAGGTCGTCCTCGAGACCCGTAGCGGCGTAATGGATGAAGATTCTTATGAGCTGTATGTGTGTGTTAATCAGTTACTTGATATGCTGAGGCGTGATGCAATTTTCACTCTGTTTAAAGCCCTTGTTTCCGCCTCAGACAGAGGCCTTAAAGCGAATCAACCAGAAGAGAGGTAGCTATATTTTCTAACTGATCTTCGTGTATTTTAGCAAGCAAGTAGTTAAGCGTCCCCGTATTGCAGGAAAACCTGATGACGATGATTCCGATTATAAGACCATTGATATCCCCTTGCTTTATGCATGTGCAATACTTGATCCATTATCAAGAGGCTTCTTCCTCCTTCCCGATGTGGAATCTTTCATTTTTTCCTTGGGCTTGCCAGTATCACGATTGCAGGTATGTGCACTCACTTATGTAAACCTTTAAAGTGAATTCGCTGGGTCCTCATTTTACATTCATTTTCTAGGTACGACAAATGCTCAGACGTGTTTCAGGGATCAGAAATCGAATTTTTTATCGTAGCCTTACTGATGTCATGGCCTCATCGAAAGTCGGGCATTTCATTCTATCTGATATTGATGATGAGGAGTACATGCAGGAGCTTGTACGTGGAGGGGACGCTGTTTTGGAAGAACACGAAACCGAATCGAACTACCCCGCCAGGTATTTATTTAGCCATTATTTCAGACACTCCGTAGAACTAGACATGTAAACCTTCCCTTACTTTTTAGTGCGATTATTTTATCTAATTCCGACGACTTAGACACCCTTGTTCATGCAAGTGATGCTACTGGGGATTCTTCCACTCCTGCCACAGGCTTTTTAATGCGATTGCGGCGCCTGGAGATGGAGAAGCAGAAAATGCAAATGTTAATTCGGAGACAAAGCAAAGAAATTGGTAGTTGTTTAAAACCCTAATTCGCTTACATTGACTTTCCTCAATAGCCTTACTTGTTCATTTGTTATATAGATACATTGAATGAGAACGCCAAGGAAATTCCGCTATTGCGGCAACGAATAAGGGAATTCCAAGAAAAGCAGGAGGAATATTACGATAGATATTGGGGTGAAAGGGATAAAGTCCATACTGCCGTCCGCTATATGGAAGGGCATCTCGGAGAGCTCTCTTCTATGCGCTCTTCTCTTTCAGCCGTTTTGACTCGAATTCGAAGTAGACCCAAGTCCAAGCAAACGAATGATGGGAAATCGGAGGACTCCGCTACTGTATCTGAATCCGAAAACATTTTCCCTGCACCTAATGACCCAGTCGCTGTAAAGAAGGTACTTTCTTCTGTCTTGGCAGTATAACGATTTATCAAGCCTTTTTTTGGGCCGTTCATTTTACCTTCTGCTCACATAATTCTTTACTATGTATTTAGGAAGCTGTTGAAAATGGCCCATCAAATAGTTTATCACAGGAGCCGTCTCTTCCGCAAGTCGACGTCATCCAAGGCAAGCTTCCAGACCCTGAACCTATTAATGAAACTAGTCCACCA